ATTTTGATAGGCATTGCATTGTATCTATAGATTGCTTTGGGCAGTATGGTCATTTTAATGATATTAATTCTTCTGATCCATCAGCATGGGAACTTTTTCTATTTGTTTGTGTTAAGTGTAGTTTCTTTCATTGATGTTTCGTAGTTTTCCCAGTAGAGATATTTTACCTCCTTGGTTAATTGTATTTCTAGGTATTTCATTGTTATTGTAGCTATTGTAAATAGGACTAATGTCTGATTCTCACCTAAATCATTATTGATGTATAGAAATGCTACTGATTTTTACACATTGATTTTGTGTCCTGAAATTTTACTGAATTTATTTATCAAATCTAATAGTGTTTTTGGTGGTCTTCAGATTTTTCTAGCTATAAGATTTTATTATCAGTGAATAGGGATAATTCGATACCCTCTTTACGAATTTGGTTGCTTCTTTAAAACAAACAAACAAACAAAACCACCTTTTTTTTTTTTTTTTTTTTTTTTCCTAATTGCTCTGGTTAGGACTTCTGGTGATAGTGGGCATCCTTCTCTTGTTCCAGTTCTTAGAGGAAAGACTTTCAACTTTTCCCCATTCAGTATAACCTTGGCTGTTGGATTGTTGTATTATGGCTTTATTATTTTTACATATGTTTCTTTTTTTTTTTTTTTTTTTTTTTTTTTTTTTTTTTTTTTTTTTTTTTTTTTTTTTTTTTTTTTTTTTTTGAGACGGAGTTTCGCTCTTGTTACCCAGGCTGGAGTGCAATGGCGCGATCCCGGCTCACCGCAACCTCCGCCTCCTGGGTTCAGGCAATTCTCCTGCCCCAGCCTCCTGAGTAGCTGGGATTACAGGCACGCGCCACCATGCCCAGCTAATTTTTTGTATTTTTAGTAGAGACGGGGTTTCACCATGTTGACCAGGATGGTCTCGATCTCTTGACCTCGTGATCCACCCGCCTCAGCCTCCCACAGTGCTGGGATTACAGGCTTGAGCCACCGCGCCCGGCCCATATGTTTCTTCAATACTTAGTTTTAATTGAGGATTTTTATTGTGAAGAGATGCTGAATTTTAAGTGCTTTTTTTCTGCATCTATTGAGATAATCATATGTTTTTTGTTCATGATTCAGTTTATGTGATGTATCACATTTATTGATTTTTATATGTTGAACCATCCTTGCATCCCTGGTATAAAACCCACTTGGTCATGTGTATTATCTTCTTGATGTGCTATTGGTGTTTGCTAGTATTTTGTTGAAAATTGTTTTTATGTTCATCAGGGATCTTGGTCTGTAGTTTTATTTCTTTGTTTTTTCTGGTTTTAGTAACTGAGTGATATTGACCTTATAGAATGAATTAGGGAGAATTCCCTTTTTCTTGATGTTTTGGAACAGTTTCAAGATTGATATTAGTTCTTCTTTATATGTTTGGTGGAATTTGTCTATGAATTTATCTGGTCATGGGCTTTTCTTTGTTGGAACACTTTTTTTTTTTTTTCCTGATTCAGTCTTTCTACTCATTATTGGTCTGTTCAGGTTTTCTATTTCTACCTGGTTCAATATTGGGGAGCTTTGTGTTTCAAAGAACTTATCCATTTCCTATAGATTTTCTATTTTGTCAGTGAGTAGTTTTTTAATAATAGTCTCTGATGATATTTTGCATTCCTGTGGTTGTAATGCCTTTTTTTTTTTTCACTTCTAATTTTGTTTATTTAGAGCTCATGTTTACTTGGGTAGTCTATGAGTGGTTTATCAATTTTGTTTTTCTCCTCAAATAACCAGCTTTTCCTTTTGTTGATCCTTTAAATTGTTTTGTTGGTCTCTATTTCATTTAGTTCTGCTCTGATCTTTCTTTTTAATTTCTTTTCTGTTGCTAACTTTGGGTTTGGTTTTGTCATGCTTTTCTTGTTCCTTGAGGTACAATATTAGGTTGTTAATTTGTGACCTTTCTAGTTTTTTTTTTTTGATATAGGTGTTTAATGGCATAAACTTAACACTACTTAACACTACTTTTCCCTCTTAACACTACTTTTACTGTATCCCAAAGGCTTTACTATGTTGTGTTATCACCTTCATTTATTTCAAAAATTTTAAAATTTCTCTTGAACCCAGTTCAATTACACTTCTAGAGCACTTATTAATGTGCCAGTTGCTGTAAGAAGAAATTTACTTTGTGAACTTATTTAAGCCCATTTCAGGAATGGGGAAAATGCAGCACAGAGGTGAGCAACTCACCAGAGTTGCTCTTTTGGTGAGAAGTGGCTGGGCTAGGGTCAGGGTTAAGCCTGGCTCTGGGTCACCTGGTCTTGGCCATTGCTTTCTATGGCCTCTTCGCTGAGCTCATTAGACAAGAAACACATGATTGTGAGGGAAATGTTCATGGTGTATATTGGGGTAGACATAGCAAGATATGCACCTCTGCTTTGTTAAAAGAAAAAAAGACCTTTGCATATGCAGAGAAAATGTGCAGTACATGTGCCACAGTACATGTGCCACTTTACTTTCCATGGTTGTCATTGAATGGAAGGATTATGAGTGCTTTGATGATTTTTTTCTTTGTGTTTTTTTTAAATAGTAAAAGAAGAATGTGAAAATTTAAAAAATAATGTAAAAGAAAGAAAATATATGACAAATGTTTATGACATTTTTACAAAGATTTAGTCTTCTCAGTAGTATAGTATAGTTCAGGTTATTTTCTACTGCCCTATATTACCATCTACAGAATTTTTCTAGACAGAATTATCTTGGCTGTTGTGACAGTGCACTCCAGCCTGGGTGACACAGCAAGACTCCATCTCAAAAAAAAAAAAAAAAAAAAAAAAAAAAGAATTATCTTGACTGGGTACAGTGGCTCACACCTGTAATCCTAGCACTTTGGGAGGCCAAGACCAGTGGATAATCTGAAGTCAGGAGTTTGAGACCAGCCTGGCCAACATGATGAGACCCCATCTCTACTATGAATACAAAAATTTGCTGGGTGTGGTAATCCCAGCTGCTCTGGAGGCTGAGGCAGGAGAGTCGCTTGAACCCCGGAGGCGGAGGTTGCAGTGAACTGGGATCACGCCATGGTACTGCAGCCTGGGTGACTGTAGAATTCTTGTAGTATAAATTCAAAAAGAATTTATATTCTTTGTAGAATGTAAATTCTACAAAGAATTTATATTCTTTCTAAATTCTTTGTAGAATTTATACTACATAGGACATAATGGGTAGTCAATAAATAAAATACTGAACTTGACACACAAATTAAGATATTACATAGACATGGCATTTTTATCACAACTGTGTAGAACCATTTCATGCTTAAATAGCTTTGTTCTTCAAACAAGTGTTTTAAGGCAGTAGCTGCATTCAATATGATTCTAGATGATAGATGTGGTTGTGGGGATGTGTTTTCAGCTGAACTGCTGCACACGTGGAGCCAGATCAGCCCTGCTCAGAGACAGCTCTGTGGTTGTGCAGCTCCATTGCTGTATTGTATACTGAAGTGGACACTGCTTTACTGCACAGGGCTTCTTTTCATTGAAATTTGGATAATGAATATTTAAAGATTTCAACTTGTAATCTTCAGAGGATTTGGACAGAAGCGTTTTAAGATCCAGAAGACTTAGGGTGAGCCTCTACTGTGACATCTAGAACTACAGATACCATATGGAAAACAAGTTAATAAAAAATATTTAGCTAAACTATCTTAATTTATTTTCCTAAGATTGTTTTGAAAATATAAATCATTCCTGTAAATATAAAGTATTCAATCAGTGTATTCCTTGTAGGTGGTCAACAGAAATTACTTTTTTAAGGGAATAAAAACATATATTTATTCTAAAAAGTGAAATTGTTATGAAATTGCTTATGTAGAACTAATTGATTACTGTTTCTGCCAGTGCTATTTTATTTTACAGCCAATTTTATGTCAGTAAACTCCATTACTAGATATGTAAAGGTTACATATCTTTATGTGAACAGGCTTCCAGCATTCCAAAATTAGATAGTTTAGGCAGTTACATTGTTATCAACAGTCATATGCTTTATTTACAGATTGTTTGTCACATATATTCTGTTAACTTTATATATTTATATGAAACGTAAATTATTTTATATACAAATAAAATTCTGTTTAAGCAAAAAAGTATATATTTCCTGATAATTATGATCACTACATAGATAATATACATAACAATATAACAAGCTGATATGGATTTTGATGTGTATGTGCATGCACATATACCTATTCACAGGGATACAATTAGCAGAGTGTCTTTGCTCTGCTCTTTCATCACTTTAATCACTAAAACAAATACAAAAGCACATCCTTTGTATTTGTATTTTGTGTTTGTATTTTGTATTTGCATTGGTATTATATTTGTATTTTGTATTTGCATTTGTATTGTATTTGTATTTTGTATTTGCATTTGTATTGTATTATATTTGTGTTGTATTGTATTTGTATTTTGTATAGTTACCTGTGTGCTGTGTGACTTTGCCGCAGCTCAGGGCATCTTGAGCAGGGACCCTGCAGGGCATCTTTGTGGTCCCCAGCCCTGTGCTGGTCAAGGCTTATGGAGGCGTCTTAGGAAGGCTCTGGTCATCCCCAAAAGGTGTTGGAGATTCTCTCCATAATTAATAAGAATTCCTTTTCATTTTTTTACAGTAAACAAATTTCATTTCATACTTTTTAAATAGCTGTGAAACCTAACCACCCTTCATAGAATGCTTTGCATCCCAAAGATCTTGCAATAATTTATCTAAATAATTTACTATTTTACAAGATTTGTTAGGTTTGTTCTGATATTTAAAAAATTTCCAGAATATGATTACATTTAATATTTATCATATATAAAAGTTTATTTATTGTTTTGTCATCTTTGGGATTTGTGATTTTGAATAGTGTTTGAATTATTTTTAAATATCTCTAGAGAGACACATTAACCATTTAATAATTTTCACATATAAAATATTCTTTCATTATTCATTTTTGCCTTTTTGTGACGAAAATTTCTCTTGGTGTTTCTTTCCTCCCCATAGGTGTGAGCGCCACTTTGAAGGGCATCCAAACCGCGGCTATCCATGTGGAATAGCTTACAGTCCTTGTGGACGATTTGCGGCTTGTGGGGCCGAGGACAGACACGTATGTGCTATTTGAGAGTCTATAAATGCAGAGATTCTAGACTTTGTTAATGTCTAGACTGTTTAATATTGTTACATATTAGGATAGAAGCCTACTTTAAGCTTGACTGTTGGTCAATATTTTCAGACTTATACATAATAGCATTTTAATAATGTGTAAGATATGAAAGATGTTTTTATTGAAGCATGATAAATAGTAGTCACTCATGAATTCATTATTAATCATTTCACAGATACTTGTTGAGTGCCCACTATTTGAAAGACATTGTGCTACATGTTGTAGTTTCTTTTTATTAAAAGATGATAATATTAATTAGTGAAACACCAGGTCCTGTGTATTCAATGGTGTGATCCTTTCCTAAGTTAGATCCTTAGGAAACAATGTGCTTATATTAATGAAATTGCTCCCTACTCTCCTCCCACGTTACACATTATGCACATATGCCTCATAGTGGATTTGGAGCAGGTACTAATGCACATCCATTTGTCCATAATACATTTTAAAAGGCCTGTATTAACTTCCTAGGGATGCCACAAACTACTACAAACTTGGAAGCTTAACCCTTTTCACGTTTGCCCCAGGAATACTCACTGGTGGCCTTGCAGCTGCAGCATTCACCTCAAAGTCATGTCACCACAAAATACCTTGCTTTTATTATTATTTTTTCATGGCACTGGTAACTGTGCCATTAACTGTCTTTTGTTTCCATGACTTTGGAAACAAAGACAACCGTTCTGTCTATAGCATTCTGTTTTTAGTAGTGGTATTATCATTTACAAAATATAGTAATTCTTGATTGCTGAAAATGCAAAATTCTAGAAAATGTAGCATTTCTTTTCTTTTTTTAATTGCATTTTAGGTTTTGGGGTACATGTGAAGAACATGCAAGATTGTTGCATAGGTACACACATGGCAGTGTGATTTGCTGCCTTCCTCCCCATCACCTATATCTGGCATTTCTCCCCACGCTATCTCTCCCCAGCTCCCCACCCCCCACTGTCCCTCCCTTATTACGCCCAGCAGACCTGACTGTGTGGTGCTCCCCTCCCTGTGTCCATGTGTTCTTATCGTTCAACACCCACCTATGAGTGAGAACATGCAGTGTTTGATTTTCTGTTCTTGTGTCAGTTTGCAGAGAATGGTGGTTTCCAGAGTCATCCAAACATGAACTCATCGTTTTTGATGGCTGCATAATATTTCATGGTGTATATGTGCCACATTTTCCCTGTCGAGTCTATCATCGATGGGCATTTGGGTTGGTTCCAGGTCTTTGCTATCGTAAATAGTGCTGCAATGAACATTCGTGTGCATGTGTCCTTATAGTAGAACAATTTATAATCCTTTGGATATATACCAAGTAATGGGATTGCTGGGTCAAATGGAATTTCTATGTCTAGGTCCTAAAGGAATCGCCACACTGTCTTCCACAATGGTTGAACTAATTTACACTCCCACCAGCAGTATAAAAGTGTTCCTATTTTTCCATATCCTCTCCAGCATCTGTTGTCTCCAGATTTTTTAATGATCGCCATTCTAACTGGCATGAGATGGTATCTCAATGTAGTTTTGATTTGCATTTCTCTAATGACCAGTGATGATAAGCATTTTTTCATATGTTTGTTGTCCTCACGTATGTCTTCTTTTGTAAAGTGTCTGTTCATATCCTTTGCCCACTTTTGAATGGGCTTGCTTGTTTTTTCTTGTAGATCTGTTTTAGTTCTTTGTAGATTCTGGATATCAGCCCTTTGTCAGATGGGTAGATTGCAAACATTTTTTCCCATTCTGTTGGTTGCCCATTCACTCTTATGACTGTTTCTTTTGCCATGCAGAAGCTGTGGAGTTTGATTAGGTCCCATTTGTCTATTTTGGCTTTTGTTGCCAATGCTTTTGGTATTTTGGTCATGAAGTCCTTGCCTACGCCTATGTCCTGAATGGTTTTGCCTAGATTTTCTTCTAGGGTTTTTATGGTGTTAGGTCTTATGTTTAAGTCTTTAATCCATCTGGAGTCAATTTTAGTGTAAGGTGTCAGGAAGGGGTCCAGTTTCTGCTTTCCGTACATGGCTAGCCAGTTTTCTCAACACCATTTATTAAACAGGGAATCCTTTCCCTATTGCTTGTTTTTTTCAGGTTTGTCACAGATCAGATGGTTGTAGATGTGTGGTGTTGCCTCCAAGGCCTCTGTTCTGTTCCATTGGTCTATATGTCTGTTTTGGTACCAGTACCATGCTGTTTTGATTACTGTAGCCTTGTGGTATATTTTGAAGTCTGGTAGCGTGATGTGTCCCACTTTGTTCTTTTTGCTTAGAATTGAGTTGGCTACGTGGACTCTCTTTTCGTTCCATATGAAGTTTAAGGTGCTTTTTCCAGTTCTGTGAAGAAGGTGATTGGTAGCTTGATGGGGATAGCGTAGAATCTGTAAATTACTTTGGGCAGTATGGCCATTTTAATGATACTGATTCTTCCTAACCACAAGCATGGAATGCTTTTCCATCTGTTTGTGTCCTCTCTTATTTCGTTGAGCAGTGGTTTGTAGTTCTCCTTGAAGAGGTCTTTTATATCCTTTGTTAGTTGTATTCCTAGGTATTTTATTCCCTTTGTAGCAATTGTGAATGTCAGTTAGTTCTTGATGTGCCTCTCTTTAAGTCTGTTATTGGCATATAGCAATGCTTATGATTTTTGTACATTGATTTTGTATCCTGAGACTTTGCTGAAGTTGCTCATCAGTTTCAGGAGATATTGGGCTGAGATGATGGGGTCATCTAGATATATAATCATGTCGTCTGCAAACAGAGACAATCTGACTTCCTACTTTCCTATTTGAATACCCTTTATTTCTTTTTCTTGCCTGATTCCTCTGGATTGAACTTCCAATACTATATTGAATAGGAGTGGTGAGAGAGGGCATCCTTGTCTAGTGCCAGATTTCAAAGGGAATGCTTCCAGTTTTTGCCCATTCAGTGTGATATTGGCTGTTGGTTTGTCATAAATAGCTTTTATTATTTTCAGGTATGTTCTGCCAATACCTAGTTTATTGAGGGTTTTTAGCATAAAGGGCTGTTGAATTTTGTCAAAGGCCTTCATCAATTGAGATAATCATGTGGTTTTTGTCTTTGGTTCTGTTTATGTAGTGTATTACGTTTATAGACTTGCGTATGTTGAACCAGCCCTGCATCCCCGGGATGAAGCCTGCTTGATCATGATGGATAAGCTTTTTGATGTGCTGTTGCAGTCAGTTTGCCAGTATTTTATTGAAGATTTTTGCATCTATGTTCATCATGGATATTGGCCTGAAGTTTTCTTTTCTTGATGAGTCTCTGCCATGTTTTGGTATCAGGATGATGTTGTTCTCATAAAATGATTTGGGAAGGACACCCTCTTTTTGGATTATTTGGAATAGTTTCAGAAGGAATGGTACCAGCTCCTCTTTGTATGTCTGGTAGAATTCGGCTGTAAACCCATCTGGACCTAGGCTTTTTTTGGGTGGCAGGCTCTTAATTGCTGCCTCAACTTCAGACTTTGTTATTGTTCTATTCAGGGTTTCGACTTCTTCCTGATTTAGCCTTGGGAGGATGCAAGTGACCAAGAATTTATCCATTTCTTTCAGGTTTACTGGTTTATGTGCATAGAGTTGTTTCTAATAATCTCTGATGATGGTTTGTATTTCTGTGGAATCTGTGGTGATATCCCCTTTATCATTTTTTTATTGCATCAATTTGATTCTTCTCTCTTTTCTTTTTTATTAATCTGGCTAGTGTTCTATTTTGTTGATCTTTTCAAAAAACCAGCTCCTGGATTTATTGATTTTTTGAAGGGTTTTTTATGTCTCTATCTCCTTCAGTTCTGCTCTGATCTTAGTTATTTCTTGTCTTCTGCTAGGTTTTGAGATTTTTTGATCTTGCTCCTCGAGCTCTTTCAATTTTGATGATAGGGTGTCGATTTTAGATCTTTCCTCACTTCTCATGTGGGCATTTATTGCTATAAATTTCCCTCTAGACACTGCTTTAAAGGTGTCTCAGAGATTCTGTTACATTGTTTTTTCATTCATGTTGGTTTCGAAGAACATCTTTATTTCTGCCTTCATTTCATTGTTTATCCAGTCAACATTCAAGAGCCAGTTGTTCAGTTTCCATGAAGCTGTGTGGTTCTGAGTTAGTTTCTGAATTCTGAGTTCTAACTTGATTGCACTGTGGTCTGAGAGACTGTTTGTTATGATTTCTGTTCTTTTGCATTTGCTGAGGAGTGATTTACTCCCAATTATGTGGTCAATTTTAGAGTAGGTGCGATGTGGTGCTGCGAAGAATGTATATTCTGTGGATTTGGGGTGGAGAGTTCTGTAAATGTCTATTAGGTTTCCTTGGTCCAGGTCTGAGTTCAAGTCCTGGATATCCTTGTTAATTTTCTGTCCTGTTGATCTAATATTGACAATGGGGTGTCAAAGTTTCCTGCTATGATTGTGTGGGAGTCTAAGTCTCTTTGTAAGTCATTAAGAACTTGCTTTATGTATCTGGGTGCTCCTGTATTGGGTGCATATATATTTAGAATTGTTAGCTCTTCCTGTTTTCTTGTTGCATTGATCCTTTACCATTATGTAATGTCCTTCTTTTTCTCTTTTGATCTTTGTTGCTTTCAAATCTATTTTATCAGAGATGAGAATTGCAACTCCTGCTTTTTTTTGCTCTCCATTTGCTTGGTATATCTTCCTGCATACCTTTATTTTGAGCCTTTGAGTATCCTTGCATGTGAGATGGGTTTCCTGGATACAGCACACTGATGGGTTTTGGCTTTTTATCCAATTTTCCAGTCTGTGTCTTTTGATTGGGGCATTTAGTCCATTTACATTTAGGGATAATATTGTTATGTGTGAATTTGATACTGCCATTTTGATGCTAGCTGGCTGTTTTGTTCTTTAGTTGATGCAGATTCTTGATTGTGTTGATGCTCTTTTCCTTTTAGTATGTTTTTGGAGTGGCTGGTACTGGTTATTCCTTTATATGTTTAGT